TGCGGGGACAGAAAATCTTACCCAGAGCCAGAGAATGTCCTGCCAATAATAGAGCTCTTGACATTAGACTACACCATCAGCTGCTTAGAGTGACAGGACCAAGATGAAAGCCTGAAATAACCTCAGGGACTGACCACTCAGACCACCTGCGACTGAAGGGGATTCTTTGTGGGGAGTATAACTTGAAAAGGGAGTCAGAGCGCAGCACCTCTACAGTAATACAGACCTGAGCATTCACTTACTGCATGTAAACTCAGAACAGCAACTGCTGCCTGGCTCAAGTCTGGCAGATTCATGTAGGTGAGCAATCCCTTTCATTTCTCTTGCAAAGTCTTGCAAAGTTCTGGTTGATGCCTGCTTTCGCCAGGCTTCTTCCAAGGTTGTGTCAGTTCTTATGAGAGCAGCTTCATCCGCTGCTGAAAGAGGGACAAAACAGCTTGATGAAAAACTGCTTTGTCTTTGCTCTTTGCCCCTAAGACAATATACAGGCCAGCAGAATGAGAGGAACCCTATGACTCCTAGGAAAAGGTGCTAAGGATGTATATAAAGAAGCACTGAGGAGCTGTATTAATGTATACTTTTGAGAGCACCAGAAAAGCTGCTTCTCAGCTTCTCCTTGGCTGCAGTTGTAGCTGTCTTAGGCAGAATGTTTTGCCAGTGTCACAGTTACCCTGCTTAAAGTGAGCCTGCTTCAAATACAAAGTGTCTGGCATGCAGTGGCTAGCACCAGGCTGAGATTAAAATATAACATGCCACCACATGGAGCTATTGGCAAACTGTCTTGTTTTAAGAAGGGTCGGGGATGCTGCCCTGCCACTGATCTGGTGGTATGAACTGTGGATATATCATCCAGAACCCATCTGCTGGCTCTGTCCCTCCAGAAGGTGTTCTACTGGTGCTTATTCATTGATGTTTTTTGAAAACTAGAGTCCCTGCTCTGTTTTCTGAAGTGGTTTTAATTGTCTCCATTGTGTGAACTTCATACATGGCCTCCTACATGCCCCAGATTTCTCTGCGGAGGTAATAATTTCCCTGCTTTGCATTGGGTCACTTGGCAGGTGGCCTTCCCCTATCTGCCCCATCTCCTGATCCTGTTTCCACTATTGGAATGCAAGAGTAAGAGCAGAATGCTTTGGGAAGTAGTAGCCTACAGATCCCACGTGGTTCTTGGTCTAGCTGTCTAGCACAATATGGGATCACCTATCCAGGATGTAATGTAACATAAAGGAGGAGATTTGGAACTGCAGAAGACGGTATAACATGAAAGTGAAATGCCAGTTTGAGCCAAGCTGTGTGGTCCTGGGGAGTAGTAGGAGATGTATGAGAACATTTATGGTCAGAATTCAATGGGCAGTGCTCCACAGTTCTCATCTACCCCCTACGGTTGTGGCACCGTCCAGGTGAAGCTTACCATGATGTTTCTAATTTCTTGGACTTTAGTTCTTTGCCTTTTTCCTTTCTGCCTGATTCACATTTGGACAGCAATAGTTCATAAATGTTACAATTTAACTGCTTTACTAGCTGTGTATGCTTTTGAAGAAATATGGCCATGGGAGTATCCACAGCATCCATAAACTCTTGAGTGTACTGTCCTCCCTCTTTCTCCCATACTATTTGTCTGCAAAACTTGGACATGGAAACCCAATGAAGTTTACCGCCGGCAATGCAGAATTACTCCCTACAGTTCATTTTCTCATGTTTGGCCCAGTCTGGATCTTTCACTGTTTCCAAGGGATGATTCCAATTTGTCTCGCAGCCAAGGATTGTTCACTCATCCTCAGCCTGAATTCTCCCTTTCATAACTTCCTGCTGTTAGCCCTACATATATTTGTACACCGGCCTGGCATGTTCCAGTTAAGTGCTGCAGTAACAAAATATTTTCACTAGCCCAAAAGGCTGAGGAAGTTCTCAGGGATTTCACCATCACTGCAGAGTGACAGACTGTTCTGATATTCCAGAGTCGTGTGTGCAGGCCACCACACACCAGAACCACTTGGGAAACGGTCAAGCACAGCTGCAAGTCACACTTCTATCCTTGCTTTCAGGAATAGAAACCTGAATAGCTCAGCAGTTTTCTTTCCAGCATGGAGGTTGTTGCATGGATAGCATGGACTAACACCCTATCCAGAACAGTCACTGAGATCAAGCCAGCATCAAGGTGCTTTCTTCATGTGAATATAGCATTTATTTTCTTCTGGCAGGTCCAAAATATGGCTTAAAGCATAACACTGTAAAGTTGTTCCCTTTCCAGGGCTAAGGGATGTCACAGGTTCCCTGTCAGCAAGAGGTACTCTACCTTACAGAGTACTTGAGTTCCCAGCTGCCACTCCATTTTCAGCTTCCTGCTGGAAGAACAGAACTTGGCACAGTTATCCACATCAATCCCTCCTCCATCGCCTGAACTGAAGAAGTTGCTATGTGTTAGGAAAAAGGCAGGTTCTATATGAACTCCTCATGAATTACCAAGTTCTCAGGCTCTGTGGACACCTCTTGTCCCTGGGAGCAGAATCTGGTTTCCCTGCTATCAGCATTTCACTCCAGCAGCATGTGGTTTCTCTCATCTGCATGGAAACTGCAGAGCATGTGAATTCAAAAGCAACGAGCCAGAGCGGCTGCAGGTGAGCAAAGCCAAGAGGTGTCATGGGAAGGGATGTGGCAGGGAGGAGGTAGTCTTGCCAGCACTTTGATCAAGTGCTTCCTGCAGTCTGTAGCCCTCTGCCTTCTGCTCTTAATCCAAACAAAAGCCAGATTGAAAAAATTCAGTGTGGGTTCAGAAGTTCAGCCTTGAACTGCACCCAGCATGGCCTTTGCTTGTGCTGTGCGCAGGTCTACAGTCGTCCCCATGCGTGTGCGTTTCCTTTACCCAGCACACGGAAGCCCTGTGCTTTCTCCTAGGTGTCAAGTGGCAGTCTCTGAATTGGAGAGCTTTGGAGTCCTCCTGCCCACTGAATAAAATCCATGAAAATGGACTTCCACGTGCCACTGAGATTTTAGGTGATTGCAACGACTGCAGGAGACTAACCACGCTTGTTTCCATCTAGTCATATATCTTGCCTTTTCCCATCAGGGAAACCCCACCAGGATTCCCAGCACACTTTAGCCAAACTTCCCATTCATGCAGCTGGAGTCTAGGGATTCTGGTTGTTGTCTAGAATTCTGCTGTACTCAAGGGAGCAAAGCAGAGCCCCAGGATGGGCAGTTCTGTCCCCCTTTGTCCAGAGTGCACACTGAGGTAACAGGTTAGGAGACTGCTGCATTTGGCATCCACATGGAAACTTTGTCTTGACAACTCTCAGCTGGTTGAGAAAATTCAGACCATCTGCCAGTGTGTGTTTGTACATTGCTGTAAAAACTCCCCAGGAAAAACCATGTGGTTGGATAGAATGGGTAGTTGGGCAACTTGGCTAGAAAAGGGGGTACACTACCGTACATGGACAGCAGAATTTACAGGAAAGTCCTGTGTGCTGGACTTTGGAGCTCTCATACGTGAGTTTTGTGGATTGTTTTTACTCTCAGAAAAAATAAAAAGAAATCTGTGAAACAGTAGGAACTGGGGTTAGTCAAAGAGGAAAAGGAACTTTGTAGACTGACTGCTCCCAGGCATCAGGCTTTTGCCACTGCTGAATCAAGGTAAAAAGAAAAAAAAAAGACAGCAAACAAAATAGGACAAGTTCGAGTTTGGGACAAAGCAAGTATTAAAAGCGCTAAAAGCAAATGTGCTCCAGGAAGGGAAAGCGTCCAAATGTCTGTTTCAGCTAACAATGAAAAGCCCCAGCCTGCAGTCCCCAAAGGAAGCCAAAAGCCTGGACCAGAGGGCTGGATTAGACCTGCTCAAAAGAGAAATAACAAAAGCTTTAAAATCAGGCCATTACTAAATCCTCCTTCCTATGCAGAATTGGGGTGTGCACTTCCAGCCCCCACACAGAAACAGAGGGATTTCTTAAAAAGCCACTGTCTGTCTAAACCTGCATACAGCATTGATGTGTATCTCACATTCACACATTCATTTCTCTCCCAGTGAGATCATTTATTATCATGGGAGCACTTTCCCATAAGCATGTGGACACGTGACCAGAACTGCACTTGGCACACTGATGCATTGAAACAATTTGAGATTTTTTTCCTCCTTCACTGTAAGTGTAGTCCTGCAATACCAAAACTTGCCCTACAGATCTTCCCCTGCAGGAAGGAGAATATGAAAAGACAGACCTAGCTGAGTGTGCCCATCTAATAGCCCTACAGCTTCTCCCCAAGCAGCTGCCTTGCCATGGTTCTTCACCAGTTCCCAAACTGGGGACCTGCATTTCATGTCTCTGAGCTCCCCTTGCATGTAAAATTAGAGACAGGAGTGTCTCCCACTTTCTGTCCTGATGTTGTTATGTAGGGGATTCCGCTAGTGGGCTAGCGTAATGTCAAAGGTCGAAAGGCACTAATTAATGCATGCACAGGAGAACAAGCGGTTGGATCTTCCTCTGTGCCATCTCCCAGATCTCTCCTGCTGTTGCTTCTAGGTATTTTAACTATCATAAACTCCTTAAAGGAAAAGTAAAACATTTTGGGAAGTGGCTTCATTTCATTGGCAGGAACTTCCAAATGTGATTCATTTTTCAATTTCTGCTGTTTGGGATTGCTGAGGAAGTAAAGTGCTGCTGTTATATAGTCTAGCTGCCTGGCATAGCAAGCTTTCTTTGCAGTTCTCAGAAATGTGCCAGATGCCTTCAAACAAATGCATTACATGGTCTCTGTCCAAAGTTCTTAATATCTCAGATTTGCACGATGCAAATTAAAGGTAACAAAGCTGTTTGAGGAGAGGATGACTGATTGAGGTTACATTAAGACCATGGGATTACTCAACAGAGGCACGCAAACATCGCTGGACAAAGTTTATCAGTCTGTTCCAAATTCTAATTTGTTGGAGCATTGTTTGTGCAGATTATGCTAGGGTTTTACTTTGGATCTTTATTGTCTGAAAAGACTTCTCTTTCTCTAAGGACCTCTATTCCCCTCTCTACTGGTAGCAAAAGATTTAAAGCCTAACAAAACTCCAGGCCACCCAGCCACAGGGTAAGATTTCCAGTAACTGATTCTGGATCTGAAATCCCCTGCCTGTTCACAAAGCCAAGTCTAAAACTTCAGATGGTAAAAAGCAGAGGACGTTTGCCAGACTCTTCACAGAGATTTGTAGTTGTGTTGATAATTCCATTCCAGTACCTCTTACACTGTGGGTTCTGACTTTCTGCACCAGCAAGCTGCAATAGTATTGTAGAGAGAACACTAAAGCAAATTTGGACATAGGAAAGTACAAGACTGGGTTAGAAACTTGTCCCAGGCAGAAGAAATAACTGATTATCCACCAAAAGTAAAGAATCCCTTTTTAGAGACTTTATTTCTCACAGACTTTATTCTTTGCAATTTTTTTACCTTATTGAGGCCAGCTGTTGAAAGAACACCGCCTGCCGAAGCTGGTTTCATTCAATCTTGGATTTCCTTGCAGTGAAGGGATTTGGCACTCCAGGTTAGCCACAGGTGGACAACTTGCCAGCAGCCTGGAGACTACACCTGATTTGTTTGGTGAGGCTGGAAGTTAAGCAGGTGCCAGTGGGTTCACTACAGAGGTGCAGCTCAGAAATTCCAGAACAAACAAAAATTCCTTTCCAGTGGTTCCTTCTGCATTGAAGGGACTCTGCTCGTGGTTATTCCTTTTATAAAGAGGCAAGTGGGGAGGCAAAGGCTACAATGCCTGCCTCTACTTCAGTTGGAACCTTTTCTCAGTGATCAGTCTCAAACTGAAATGGGTTTGTGTTGTTTTGACAGGTATCTGACCCGCTGGTCCATCAGATCTGCAAAGCCCATCTGGAAGAGGGGCCCCAAGTGGTGTAAAAAAACATTTCCAGTCGGGCATCCTTTGCTGAAGGATAATGTCATGTATTCCAGCAAGCCTCTTTATTTAAACCACTAGTGGCCAGAACTGGCATAGTAAGTACAGCTGTTTTCCACTGTTCTGCTTTTTTTGCAAGTTTGTCAGTATCTCTAATTTTCGTGTTCCAAAACTGTCATTAGTTCTCTATATCATCTCTAGTGAATGAGCTGCAATCTGCTCCTCTAGGAGAATACAAGGTTCAGCAAAGCAAAGTTCAATGTGCAGAATTATGTGGAAAAAGCAGAGAGCAAAGACTTTTAGCTCACCCACAAAGGATCTGAAGGCTTTTGTTTCATTATGGTCCACAAATGGCTTTGGAAAAGGATATTTTCTTCTTTTTCCAGCAATAAATGGTGATTCCTCATTAACCTGTGTTTCAACTCAGATTTGCCTCATTTGGACTTTTTTACCTATAACACTGATGGACGAAAAAGCCTCCTGCAGTACTATGTTTCCTTGACAGTAACTGAAATTGTTAATGACTACTGAAATTATTTTTTTTAATAATCTCTACTATCCATAATTTGCAGCAAAACACGTGTGGCAGTGGCAGAGAGGCATGTGTGTGTCTTACATGTCCCCTTAAGGATTCCTGGCTTGTGCTTCACTCCTGGATCTAACAAATACAGAATATTGACATCCTCGGTGACTTGGCCTGTTTTTTTACCATTGCAAATACATTTGCGATAAGTCTTCCATGTCAGTGGGATAGTTTGGGTCTGATAGATCTGCATAATTATTCATTCTGTAACTAAAAGGTGATACCATTTCTCTCCTTATAGAGTACATGCATGCATCTTCTAGCTACCGACCACAGCTACTTATCAAGCGTGATATGAAAGGCTCATTAAATTTATCAGGGTCATTATTGCCTTGGCTTCATTTCTTTGATACTTATCTGGGGGTTACAAATCAACACAGCTTTTTTGTATACTACTGTGCCACTGAACCTTGTACTGCTTTCATCAGAATCATCGGCTAATACCTATCAGCGTGGAAAAGAACAAAGGATAAGGATAAACCCGAATTACCCATGAAATCAAATTAGATTATAAAGTTCTTTTTAGCCTTACTTTGTGAAATGGAAGCCCTACATTCAGCTTCTGGAGCTGGCCAAGATCTTTTTGCTTTGAGAGACAGAGACAAGACTTCACTAACTATGCTGAGATAGTGTCTCTGGCTGACCATCTCTATTTTATGAAGCTTTGGAACCTACAGCTCTTCAGAAAGGAGAGGATTTCTTTTTACTTCTCGTACACATAGAAGATACTATATCTTCTAGCCCAGGTAGCTCTGCTCAGTGAGCTTTACTAATGGGAAAGTCACTGGATTAAACCATTGCCTTGAGATGAACCTGAATAAGCACATTTTGCAAAAGGCGAGGTGATGCCCACAGTTATTTTTTTTCTACAGTTTAGCACTGTGAGTCAGAAAGACCTTTCTAATTTTGGTGAAACCGAACATCTGAAAAACAAAATCCTTCTGCCTTTTCAGTATGTCTTTCTAGAGTCCATTTGTTACTGTCTAAAAGATCTGCATTTACATATTACAGGGAATTCAATGTGGAGTTGAGTGGAGGATTGCACACAGTGAAGTCCTAGGAAAAGAATCAGGGCCAGAGTCCAGACACGGAAGACTCCTGCTCAAAGTGCAGAGATTTCACACATTTATTAAAACAAGCAAGTAAAAAATCTAAATGTTCTCAAGGTTTCATCCCAGACAGGAGAGTCACAGCATGAAGGGCAGATCTAAATTCTTCTCACCAGTGCCAAAGTAGATGTAGCCATATTGCTTGGTCATTGGGACATGGTAGAATGTCAGCCCTGGCCACAGCAGGCTTCGTAGTACCACCACAGTGCCTCCCCTCTCGAGCTGGACAGTCCAGGAGCCTGTGTAAGAACATGTGCTAATCAGTGACTGAAAATGAGAAAGAGCATTCTTGGAGCAAGCCGCCCCAAAGCAGAGGGAAAGACTCCATTGGGTTCTGCCTGGCCAGTTAACAGTGAACAAGAGCACTGGAGTTTGTGACACCTGGAAAGAGGAAAGTCAGGGAGACAGAAACCTTGATGGCCTTTTTTCTTCCGTCATTCAGCATTACAGGCTGCCCTCATTTCCAGATGTCTCTGTCTAGGCTCACACAGTAGCCTGTTCCCATGGCTATGATGGTAATGTCATACACGTCATGGGAAGGGACTCCTCCAGAGTTGTATACTTGATCCCTAGGAGAAACTACAGATATTCTTGGCTGCTTCTGAGTGGGCAGCAGTTACTCTAACAAGCTCTGCCACCTACCTGGTATAGCTAATGGCTATAGAGAGCCAAGACTAGCTATAGGAGTCCTGCATAGGTAGGAAATTTCTTGTTAAAATAATCTTGTAGCATTAGTAGCAGGAAGAGGTAGAAGACGCTTTCCTGCTCCAGGGAAGACTGATTTCCCTTATGCAGTGACTGGGGAAGAGGAAGAAGAGAAAGTGAAAAGCAGGGTATTTCCTATCTCAGAGAAATTTACAGAAAAAGGTTAATCTTCTTGAGTCTTTCTTGGCTCCACCATTGAAGAGGATGTGCGTAGTGGGGGCAAAGGGATTAGTTTCTGCATTTATTTTGCTTTGGCTCTGCAGAGGAGGTTCGGAGCCAGTGTGAAAATACAATTTCTCCTGGATGCAAGCTGCTCTGAGCCACTGAGTATTTGTTTTACATCTGACGTGACAGCCTGGGAACAATGCTGGAGGGGAGGGGTCTAGAGCATCAGCTTGGATTCAATGCCAGAAGGCAAGGAGCTGCCAGAAGAAGAAAATACCAGCTTCAGCACCAAATCAGTAATGCCTAGAGGCTACAAGAAGGGAAGAAGGTTCGTGCTGAATCTCCATCTAAAAGCAAAACCAGCAGGCCCAAATAAAAAAAAAAATTCATGCAGTTGGAGCTGTCAGGCTACTACAGCCCTGGAGTCAAGCAGTCAGCCTATCTGCACCCAAAGCCAAAAATCTGCCAATTCCAGAGTAAGCAAAAAGCTCATAATGTGTTGGGCCAGTTAGGCAGTATTCATCTTTGTAGATAATTTTAGGCTTCTCGATTTCTGCTCTGACTCACGGTTACTCATGTCATGGTTAGCCTGGGGAAGGGCTTCTCTGATTGCTGTCAGCTGCCAGTCCTCCCCCTCTCACTAACTTCTAATGCTCGGCCAATTTAGGCACATCCGACAAAAGGCTAAAGGGCTTTACCATGGGAAGTTCCTACAACAGGTCTCCCCAAGACACGGCCCAAGGGTTGACTGCCCCTTCTGAGGCTATTTGGTCTGACAGCACCTGTGAGGAAGCATAGGCTGTTTGGCTTGCCTGGCAGCCAAGAGGCAGCAGCTAGCTGGGCAGTCGGTGTTGTGTAGCTTTGGGCTCTTGCACACTCACTTGCAGTATACGTAGTCTCTTAAGCAGTTCATGGCAAACTACAGTAAACCACTGTAGGTGGTTTCAGGGAGGATGGAAGCCGAGGGGAAATGTATATATGGTGGCTGCAGAATCAGAAAGAAACCAGGTGGCGTGAGTTGTGCTGCTCACCTATTACTTGTCTCTGCTCTTTATATTTCTGTACGTTTCAAAAGTTTCTTGGACATCATTGTCTCCCCTGTCTCGTTCAGTAGCAAGTTCCACAGATTTGTTACACCATAATATGCACAAGTCCTGTGTCATCTTTGATCTGTTACCTTCCAAAGTACCTTCTTCAGTTATGTGCAAACATGGAACTAAATGAACAGCAAGACCGTCTACCTTCCATGACAGTCACTGAACTTCCTGAGAAACTGACTCTGGCTGCAGGATAGGTGTACAAAAGTGACATTCACAGGCTTTAAACACTCTCGAAATTTCTGCACTGGAGAGTTTACTTCTGACTCACTCAGGTCCATGCTTCCATTAAAGGCAAACAGCTGGAATTGCAGGAAAGGAAAGCACTACTTAATGTAGGGCAGGATCAGTACAGGTGTGAGCCATCTTTTCACGTTCCTTGCACCCTGACATGCTTTGCACAGGTCCTAGTTAAAATACGAGCTAGTGCCTTCACAAGCAGTGGTTTCACATACAAGGCAACCCAAATCACCCATGCAATGTCTTCAGTGCCACTCATACGGACACACACTGGATCTTTGTCATATCTGGAGTAAAAACACATATTATGGTTCAGCCACTGGGATTACAAAATCTGACAAAATCTGCATATTCTGAAGAAAATTCACTACTTGGATAGCATAGAAACCCAGATGAAGAATACTACAAGGCAGATCAACCAGTGGCTGAAGCACTACAGCCATCTGCTGTCAAAGGACAAGCTTTCAAATGGTTTCTTGAACTTCATCTCTACAAGTTTTCAGCTTTGGTAGTGGCAATAGCTAGCCATAGGGGCGTACATAGAGGCGTTGGGCAACAAGTGGTAAGCAAATAGGTCTGAATGTAATTGTGACAAATAACTTTTTCCATTTCTCCTTTGAACACTGAACTGATTTTGCTTTTAGTGCAGGGTTCTTGCAGCTTGATCTTGAATGAAGCAATCTGCAAGCCCTTCATCCAAATACTCGTGGTTCTTGCTGCAGTTTGCAAGGAGGACTGTAAATTTTTGGAAGAGTTTCTCTGACAAAAACATAATGTAATGAGAAACTCTTATTGTCTTTTATTTAGGAACAGTTCTCTGATAAGCAAGTTGGTCAGGAATAGGACTGTGCCTTGCCTTGCTGGGTGGTGAAAGCCTTGAGGGATTATCTCGTTTGCTAATGCCTCCCAACATATTGGAAGCATCCAGCAGCCTAGGTATACAGTAGCTTGTATATATATGTTCACGTACACAAATGAACCCTCGGCCTCAAACTATTTACAAAGAACAAAAAGAAATGCCTGCAGCATGACAAGTGGGTAAGGTGAGAAGGAAAACAGCTATATTAACGCTGTCGGTAACTATGTCTGGATCCAGACCTCTTTTTGTTGGACAGATGTGCAGAGAAGGTAGAGTGAATTAAGTTCAACTTGATTAAATCCTCATATCTATGTTCTGGGGCAATACAGTACAAGGATCCATGATGTCCTCAAAACATTCACCCAGTGTCACACAGGTTTATCAATCTATGCAGAGTATTCATCAGCAGTTAACTGCTGATCAAAGGAGTTTCCCATGCACCTTCACACCTGGCAGAAATGGACAGATGTAACTGAAGACAGCTCCATTCACCTTTATACAAGATCTCTTAAGGCTGTGATGTGCAGCTGCTTCATTTCCCTACCGTGTGGCCAAGTTGCAAACTCTCAAAGGGCTCAAATTTGTCATTTCATAAATTCGAGACCTTTGGAGAATATTAAGTTATTAAACCTTCTGGCTCTTCTCTGATCCTTGATTCTGCATCTAGTTCTATGCAAATACAGACAATAAAGTTTTGCTGATGCTGCATAAGTCTTCTTGTGAAATGAGGACCTGAACAAACCAAACAGGTTACTTAAGGGCAGTCCTAGCTGGACTGATGCAACATAGGTTGAGGACAGTTGAGGTTGAGGTTGATACTGTCCCACACAACATCCTTGTCTCTAAGATGGAGAGACATGGACTTGATGGGTGGGCCACTTGGTGGATAAGAAACTGACTAGAAGGTCACACTCAAAGAGTTGTGGTCAATGGCTCAATGTCCACATGGAGACCAGTGACAAGCGGTGTTCCTCAGGGGTCTGTTCTGGGTCCAGTGCTGTTCTACATCTTTGTCAGTGACATGGATGATGGCACTGAGCGCACCCTCAGTAAGTTTGCCGACGACACCAAACTGTGTGGTGCCGTGGACTCACTCGAGGCCATCCAAAGGGACCTTGATAGGCTTGAGAAATGGACCAGTGCAAACTGCATGAGGTTCAAGAACTCAAAACATAAGGTCCTGCACCTGGGTTGGGCCAATCCCAGGCACGAATACAAACTGGGCACAGAGTGGGTTGAGAGTAGCCCTGAAGAGAAGGACTTGGGAGTGTTGCTAGACAAGAAGCTCAACATGAGCCGGCAGTGCGCTCATGTAGCCCAGAAGGCCAACTGCATCCTGGGATGTATCAAGAGAAGTGTGGTCAGCAGGTCAAGAGAGGTGATTCTGCCCCTTTACTCTGCTCTTGTGAGACCCCACCTCGAATACTGCGTCCAGCTCTGGTGTCCCCACTGTAAGAGAGATATGTATCTGTTGGAACAAGTTCAGAGAAGGGCCACAAAGATGATCCAGGGGCTGGAGCACCTCTGCTATGAGGATAGGCTAAGGGAACTGGGATTGTTTGGCCTTGGAAAGAGAAGACTCTGGCGGGACATTATAACTGCCTTCCAATACGTGAGTGAAGGCTGGGGAGGAACTTTTTACAAAAGTGTCCACCAATAGGACAAGGGGAAATGGATTTAAGTTAAAGGAAAATAGATTTAGATTGGATCTTAGGAAAAAATTCTTCAGTAGGAGGGTGGCAAGACTCTGGAATAAATTGTCCAGAGAAGTTGTGGATGCCCTCTCCCTTGAGGTGTTAAAGGCCAGGTTGGATGAACCCTTGAGTAACTTGGTCTAGTTGAGAGGCGTCCCTGCCCAGGGTGGGGAGGTTGGATTAGACGATCTCTATGGTCCCTTCCAGCCTAGGCCATTCTATGATTCTATGATTGTATGACGGGAAAAAATCAGAAGAAACTGCCTGAAACTGTAATGTCATTTTCACTCAGATCCTGTTTTCAGCCAGAATGATTAGTCATAGAGCTGCTCTTAATGCTGCAGAGCCAAACAGCAGCAGTAGTGTCACCTTCCACCTTTTGCTAACTGCATCACTGGGGACGCTTTTCTAACCCAGCTGTCAAAGGTAATTTATTCAGTATACTTCTTGCGACCGGATTTCTGGCAACATACAAACCC